ATCTGCAACACATTTGCCTAAAGAAGAAAGGATCTAATAATAGCTCTTACTTTGGGTTTCTATTGTAAAGGCAGTATAATATTTTTGAATTTGAAGGATTTTTACTTCCTTATTTTGACAGACAAGATACTTCAATAAAGATTTGCCCCTTTGACACTTCTGAGATTTCATCAATAGGCAAATAATTTCATAGATGTTAAGAGCAAAGGACTTAAATTTCTGAGAAAGGCAGGAAATCTTGATGAACACATCACTGTTCATGGCTATAAACGCAGCTCATTTTTTACTCACTGTACTTGCAATCTTTTCTGTGCTTCAGTGCATGACATCAAAACATTTGTTCACCTGAGATTAATAATGGTTAATATCCACTTTTGTATAGAATTGAGAGGCCAGTACATTTTCTTACTCTGGAATTCTCTTTCATTTTCCATCAATGTTTCCGGTGAGAAATGTTTCTCGCATGCTCAGTGATTTTGCCTTTAAGGACTTAGGTACGTAAGCATGAACTGCTGCAGACAGTTACAGATTACAGAAGGCAACAGTTCATTATCCTCACATTTTATGGTCTTACAGATTAACACCATAGACTGTTTAACTGAAAAGACCATTTAACATTTTGCTATTATTACATGCAGCCCACCGAATATAACAAAAAAAAGGACTTTGCAATAATGTGACAGTTTAAAATATACCAGGTTTTTCACCTTGATACCCACCATATGTGTTGGACCTTGACTCCATTAATTCCAAGCCATCATGGTCAATATACTGTAAATTAGTGGACAATAGTGCAGATTTTTCTAGACTAAGCTCTTCTAATGTTGACATTTCAGCCAACGTATTAATATAATTTGCAGAAAGTCTTCCGGGTTAATCAGTCGTCAACAAATCCTAAGCCAGAACATGTATTTAACTCAGGATTTCCTAAAGAAACATTAGCTGATGCAGTCTTCCCCCAAATAAGGATCCGGCATGTTTTTCTAAACATTGTATACAAGACTGATGCTGTGTTTCAGGAGTCAAGGAATCTCTGCATTTCCACTAGAGATCAGAATTTGAAGTAGGCAAAAACAAATTCCCATCATATACATTTTTTACTTATCCCAAAGGATCCTGATTCTTATTCTGCTTAAGCCAGTGTTGTTCAGAATTGGCTACTTTAAGATGAGTGGACTTCAACTCCCAGAATTCCCCAGCCAGCATGGCTGGCCGGGGAATTCTAGGAGTTGAAGTCCACTCATCTTAAAGTAGCCAATTCTGAACAACACTGGCTTAAGAGAACATCTTCAAGTACCAGCAAAGAAGTGTGAAGGACTAGCTCTGCATTGGAAGACGTACCTATCCATCAAAGGCATAAACTGGCTTGACTGTAGTGCATTTACAGACTGTAGTGCATTGACTGTAGTGTATTTGGTGCACCAGTAATCACTATCCGCTGCCAACCGTTCTTCCAATGTGCAATTGCATATTTTGTTTTGCATAATTAGGCAGTTTGTTGTGACAGTTTTCACAGCCTTTCTGCAGAAACTCTGCCAGCATTGGAAGAAGAGCCAGCTGTAACTGAGATTTGAGTAATGTGAGCAGCTTCCAGTCCATGCATGGATCCTACAATCATTTTGTTGTAGATAGAACGACACTCCTTCCAGCCGTTGGCCGCTGTGGATCCTGCCTGGGCATGCTTGCTGGGGCATGTCACTGCCTTGGACTCCTAGGTTGCAAGGTGAATTTGAGCAGAAAGCAGGAGTGTGATTAAGGACTCTTTCATTGGACCAAAGACTTATCTCAATGTCTTCTCTGTGGCAAGAAGCTGAAATGTGCCACCTATCCAGGAGGTCATGCCACAGAGTGGTTTAGTTTGCTCCTGTGATGTCATAAATTGACTCTGTATTCCTGCAATTGCCTAGGACTGTCCTTGCAATCCATCCCAGAAGCCAAAACTCATCATATTTCACCTTAATTAGCTCTCAGTAATGTCATTGTATATTCCAATTTATTTGGCTACGGAGCACATGTGATGCTATCACACCCCCAGTGGGATCCATAGGGGAGAGAAGGAAAGAAAAAGTCATGACACTGAAGTAGCAAAGATAAGAAGAACAAATGGCAGCAGATGAATTTGGAAATGCCTGCACGTTTGAAGAACGCGGATGGAGGGAAACAGGTTTTCGGCTCCGAACTTTAAAACAGGCAAGCGGTTGTCAGAGTCTGCAGCCTAGGACTCCATACATCTGAAAGAATGCAATGATCTGCATTCCTAGAAATTATGGTTTGCGTCAGGCAGGTCCCCGTTATTACAATACCCCTTAGTATCGTTGCAGAGTTTTTCTACCGCAACTGTTGCTGTTGAAAAGGTAGCTCTTTCATTTGGAATTTAATAAACGAAGTCAGAACAGCCTTGTTCCCTTTCAGGGTTCCCTTTCACCCACACAAATCTAATTTAGTTCTTCAGTTAAGGCCAAGGTTATAAGAAACCATGTACTTGGCGATGCAAAATTAAGTTCATTTCTCCACTTCAGCCACATCTGAAATGCAGAGCCGGCTTTTTACAGCTCCAATTTAAAACTGCACCGAGCTGGAACTGCACTTGTTTATGAATATGGTCACGTTGAGATTTTAGATAGCACTAAGTATGCAGCAGCTTAATAAATTATGAAAAGCAATGAGTACAGATTTAAATTAAGGATGTCAAATACAATTACTGTTTTGTTTTTTTTGTTTTTTTGGTCTGAGCAGCGAGGGTCAGCAATAATTGATATTGAGAGGAAACTTCCTGAAAGCATTCGGGGCTAAATTCCTAGGTGGGTTGCATTTTCCCCTTCTTTGATGAAGGGGAATAATCAAGGGTTTTGTTCATTATCTGCAGGGAACTTAAGACTTTGGGACAAGATTCAGACAGTTACAGATTAC